TTTTGAACCAGGGATTGAACCCAGGAGTGCTTAACCATTGAGCCACGCCCCCAGCCCTTTTTTTTATTATTATTTTTTATTTAGAAACAGGGTCTCTCACTAAGTTGCTTAGGGCCTTGCTAAGTTGCTGACGCTGGTTTTGAATTTGTGATCCTTCTGCCTCAGCCTCTGGAGCCACTGGGATTACAGGTGTGTGCCACCAATCCCAGCTCCATCGCCATTTTTTAAAAATGAGTTATGGCATGGGAGGGAACCTATCAGAGGTGTCTAAAATTATCTAGTCTACCAATTAACCATCACATTGTATTATGTTTCACCTTAAGTGTTCTTCCTGGTTCTGACCACCAACAAAATGGGTCATGATACATTTATAACTAAACTCTGTATGTTATCATTTAAGTTATGGCTTAAAGACATAACATGGCCCTGTGAGATTTAATACACCTCCCTAGGTTGGAAGCATCCTGTCAACTAAGCAATTCCATGGACTAGTTTCATGTCCACCCTGAGCCAGTGAAACAGAAATTATTTCCTTGATCACATCACGCCCAATGTTTGTGGGTTCTGTTTTTCTCTTCCATTTCACTCTACTTCATCCCACTTGAGAAGCTGCTGATCCCTTGGTAAGAAGAAGTACTTAGAGAAATTTAACCTCTCAGGACACTGGGAAATAATGTACCGAATTAAAGGATAAAGTATCAACTTCCTAATAGTTCATAGGGGTTTTGCAAGATCTGCTCTGGAGTCATTAATCTTTATAGCGTAAATTCAATCATGAATTCAGTCATAAATACAATTTTCAATTAAAGAAATTAAGTACAGTGTTCAGTAAATAATGGACTAAGTCAATCTGCTCAAGGTTTAGATAAAAATGATGAATGGCCAATGCTTAGGATAGCACATGTCCCTATAGAATTTCTGGTCTTTATACTTAAATATCAGACTTAAGAGTCCTTGAAGCTGTAGATAAAATGTTATGACTTTTTTTAATATTCAAAAAGAAGTTTAGTGACACCCAGAAAAATGGTAAGATCACTTTGCACATATTTTTTCCCCACTGATTCAACCTTGTATGTCTATGGATTCTACAAAAATCATAAAAACATATTGTACTATTTAAGACTAAATTTGAAGTCAGAAGTCAAAAATGACCCAAGGCACCAAAGTCATCCTGCTACTCATGTGGCTGGGAATGCTCATGAGTGCTCAGTAGGCATGTCTTACCTGTGCCTGGAAGGGGACATTTCTCACAGTGTGGGCCCCAGGCCTTGCCCACACTACAACAGCAGAGCTGCTTGGTGAGGTGAACAGACAGAGGGTGCATACACTGCCTTCCGGAACTGACAAGCCGGTAACAGGGCCCCTTCTCTTCTGAGATCACAGGGGGATCCGCTGAAGCAGAGACAAAGTCTGATGTCATGCATGAAAACCAAACTGACTTTTCAAGCAAAAGAAAAACGGACATTCAAGTATGGATTGGAAACTTCAGAATCAATACTTTAGATCAATCCATCTAGCTTTATGGTTTCACCTTCCTTGATTAGGAATCTATTTACCAAATTAATTTTAGAGTTAGAGCACCAAATGTTGTAACAGTGATGGTCCCTATCCCTGTCTGGACATTTTTCCTTTTAGCAAGCATTAAATCAGTATATATGCATATGTGAAAATAAACAATTTCAACAGAAGCCTTGGTTCACAGTAGACACAAAATATATATCAGCCACTCATATTTAAAATAAATAATTTCAAATACAGAAAATAAAACCAGACATCTCCATCCTCTTGAGTACATTTGCACCCAACTTGATCAATGCTCCGTGGCAGAAGTTCACCAACATGAAGAAAAGTTAAAGGTAGATGTTATAGGTGAAATGGGGGCTGGAGGAAGAGACTTTCCTGAAGCTTCAAAACTGTCACGTGGGATGGGGGTGTATCTCAGTAGTAAAACACTTGTATAGCCTGCCTGAGGTCCTGGCTTCAACCCTCAGCATTGCAAAACAAAACAAAACAAAACCTCACACTATATGTCTAGGAAGGCCAGCTCTGCCATAAACTCCTAAAAACATGGGAACGTGGAGAAATCTGGGTCTTTTCCTCTCCTACTCACTTTATGGATTCTGTACAAGTAAGTTATAAAAAATAAAAAAGTCAGACTTTTAAAGGAAAACTTAAGAGCATAGTTATTAAGATAATAAATCCCTGTAATAATTGAGCAGCACTTACATAGTGTGAATTTGCGTGTGTGCATGTGTGTGTGCGTGTTTGTGTGTGGCTGTAGGTTATTTAATCTTTAGAACATGCACATAGTTCTTAGACAGCTCAAAAAGGATTTTGTTCCAAAATTTTCTCCCCAAATTGACCATAACTTACATATGATATTTCCAAAGAAGCCGCATCAGGTCATCTCCCAAGAGCCTATTTTACACATACATTTTTACCTAAATTATTTATTATTCTTTTATCATTTCAAATAACTTGCATAGCAATCCAATTTATTTTATTAACCACCTACAGCGCTGTCACATTCTAGTCAACATAACACATAAATCCAGGAACGACAACTGCCCAGAAAATGCAAGATGGTGTTCATAGTGTCTGAGTGTCTGTGACCTCAGATTGGAAGGCTGGTTGTAAAGGATAATTCATTAGTCTACCACATATATTATGTAAAACATGGTACATATTTCTACTGAATCTTACAATTTTATATTATCCTAAAGAGTCAGAGCTGCCAAAAGATTTCTGAAGAATAGGTGGGAATGGGTCTGGAGCAGAGCAGGACAGAGTAGTAATAGAAAGGGTATGTGCATGTTCTTATATGAAGGTACACTAAAATAGCACTTGGTTGGACTGAATTTTTTGCAGGATGTTTTGCTAAAGTCAGGATGAAAAGATTTAGATACACTAAATGGAAAAACATTTCAGAGATATAAAACCTACTAGAAATACCACATGTGTCAGGAAGACAAATTCTTTGCTCTTGGCTAGAGACAATTCTTCAATATGGTAACAAACACATATATAGCTCTGATTCTAAGCCCAGCACTGAATGCTGGTGGCAATTCAATTACAAAACAGAGCCAAAAGGTAAAATGCTGTAGCTCTATTATTTGGGTTCCTCGCTGGTATATTAAAAGACTCATTCTCCATGTACATAGGTGCCCAGTAAGAATGAGGACCTAGCTTCAGTCAAAAAAAAAAAAAGAAAGAAAGGAAGAAAGGAAAGGAAGGAGCTAATAGTTAAAGATAGTCCTAATTCCAGGGCTGTACAATAACTCTCATAATACTCTCAAAGACATGCTACTTTGATGTACTAAAATGTGAATGATAAATATCACTAGGCAGAAACAAATCAATCTGGTACTTATAAGAAGTTGAAAACTAGAAAGGACTTCAGAGATAGCAAGGACATAGAGACTAGGCATCCCTACAAGTCTGCTGTCACTCCCATCTAAACATGCTCATTTAATTCTTGGATGAAATTCCACATTACACTTTCTTCCCTTTAAATCTTAAAGTTTCTATAAGAATGAGCAGGAGTGCATGTGTGGGGAGCAGGTAAAGCTGTTCTGTTGAATCTGAGAAGTGGCCTTCCCAGGAGTAAGAACCACAGGGAACCCTTTTTGGGAAATGGGTTACTAAAAATAAAGCCTAGGAGAATCAAAATCAAAGACAGTCTAGAGCCATTGTAAGGTTAGGCCATGCATGCATTCTTCAATGTTTCATGTAACACTAAATAGCAGCTCTCCTTAAATAAATGATGTAGCACCATCAAATCAGACCAGTTCCCTCTTCCTGATTAAAGGTCCAGTCTGCGGTATCAGATAGTTCCAGTTTCACATCTCGGGTGCATAAATTACAGGCTGTGTAAATTTTGGAAAGAAGCCTCAACTCTCTGTGCCTCATTCCTTTCAGTTCTAAAATAGGAAGAATATTAGTACAAATCTCATAAAGATCTTGTAAATTTTATATGTAATAATCACATAAAGTGTTTATCCCAGTGCCAGGCATTATTAAGTGTGTAATAAGACTACTATTGTCAGGGTTTTGTTGTTACTATTATTAAGTAGGAGCAAACTATCTGCAAAGAGATGTCTAACTTCCAGATCAGAGAAGTCAGGGGCCTATGCCGAGCTAGCCACAGAGGAGGGTGAAAGAAAGGAAAGGCAGAAAGACAAATTATAAAGGTTGAATGGCTTCCTTGAAAACAAAAGGAAATGAAATAGGCTCCCCACCTGAGTGCTTGGGAGAAGGTCATCATGGGCAAAAAAAAAGAAACAACACCAAGCCAGGAAGGTAGGCACACTTTAAGGGGAAAGCAGGAAAAGTAGTCGTAATTTACCCATCCACTTTATTTAAAAAATAGCCTGGATCTACGCAGTGCAACACATTAGGAACTAGCCACACGTTGCTACTTGGATGAAATTTAAATTAAATAAAACCAAATATTCAATTCCTCAGTCATATTGGCCACACATAGCTAGTGGCTCCTTTATCAGCAGAGAGAGAACATTCCCATGGTCATGCAAAGTGCCACTGAACAGTATTATGGGTCAATAAGCTTTTTCTGAAAAGGGACAGATGGTAAATGTTTGGGGGTCTGTGGGCAATATGGTCTCTGTTTCAACTTCTCAACTCTGTCACTGGGGCACAAAAGTAGTCTGAGGCAAAGAAACATAGGTAGCCGTGATCATGATCACTAAAACTTCATTTACAAACACAGCAAGCAGATTTGGCCCATGGGCTATACTTTGCCAGCCTCTGATCTAGAACCCTAAAATTGGAGGCAAAATTCTGGTTTTAAATCTCAACTGTCATTTATTGGCCGTGTGATTTTGAGGAATTTCTTAAATCCACCTGGCCTCCATCTTTCAATGACAATACATCTCATAAAGAGGCTAGGAAAATTAAAAATAGAATCATACACATAAACATGAATGGTGTTTAGAGGACTCTTTTCTTCATCTTGTGACTTCCAGTGCTGCAGCAATAGTTTCTGAGCACATCTTCTCTCCAACCCTCTTCCTATCTATCAAGTCCAAGTCCATGAGTCGAGAAGACTTTGAAACTGTAAAAGCCCAGGCTTGGATTCTTTTATCTGGGCACTTTTACTGGACACACCCTAAGCAACGCTCACCCTAGAACTCTTAAATTCCTGAAGAAAATTAATGGCAGCTCGAAGACAAAAAGCCTTCCTGTTCCACTTGCAAAGGTTATTCTACTTTTCTTGAATTTGCTCTGACAAGTCCTAAAATTTTCACCTTTCCCCACAAGATAGGTGGAGGCAGGTTTGAACACTGCTTACATCCTAAGCCACAGACACAGAGATCAGGGGTAGCACATGCCAGCACCCTCCTCCTCTCTTCCTTTTGGCTTGGCCAAGTCCAGGACAGACAGCGGGCAAGGAGAGAGAGTGAAATAGCTGCAGCCTTTGGCTAGAGTCAAGGAATTCTGAGGGTGTTCACCTCGGTGCAGTCAAGAACAGGGAGAGCTTCCCTTGGCTCCTCAGCCATTGCCAAGTGCATTTCTTGGAGTTCACAGAGTCGGCCACACCTTTTATGGCCTGGATATGCCCTAAATTCATGCTGCCTGAACAAATGTTGCTAGTCTCCACCATTTGCTTGCATGCTCTGTCTCTAGCTGGTTTTACACCTCTCGAGAGCATATATTTCAAATGTTAAATAACACCTCCATCATGCCTAATCACCTCCTGCTATCATCATGCATAGCAGTGAAGGATACCATCACCTTCCTCCCTGATCCTTCCCAACTGTCTTCAGACTCCTCCAACAATTTCTTCAGAGTTTACCACAAATTAGGCTAGATTTGTCCAAATCACAAACCCTGAAGGAACTCCACATATCTCTGTGATATCACACATCATAAATCTGGAAGAGGGAGAGACCTCCCTACTCAACTCTGCAAAAGAGCCCAGGTTTGACCTTCAAATTCTAAACGGGAACATTTAACTAGCAACAAACGTCTCTTAGTACTTAGCATTTCAGCTGTTGGAGTTGAACCGTAAAATTGAATTATTTACTTTTCAAATAAGAATAGATGATTGTTTAATAAGTTCAGAATTATTGGGGCAATGACAGGGAAAATAAATACTAAGAAAATGTGCAAGTGTTTCAAAATTCTCATTGGCAGGTTCCTACAATCTCATTAAAATCTGGATGGCTGCCCTTAATGCTAGACATCAGATCTAGTCAAAGTTTCATAAAACACTCAGTGACCAGTTCTCCAAGTTTACCTAATCTGCAATCTGTAATGTAAGAATTTTAACTTTAAGATAAGTTAACTTATCTTAACAGATAAGTCAAATCATGTAAGGGAGGTAGGGAGACATTTACAACAAATTTTATATTCAAAACTCTTTATAATCTCTTACACCTAAATTGGAAAACTATTCAGAATACTTATTTATGAAATTCAAATCAGCTGGAAATTATCCCTAAATTATCTGGATATTGTTAACACTGTAATTTTTGACTTGAGGTTTCCAAGTCCTTACATCAGTTTTCAAATGCACCATGTACACAAACTTAATTTTACAGCTAATTTGGCCACCTCCTAAGAAAAGCCCTAAAATTAGACGTCTGCCTGCTTCAGGAATCAGAACTGTTTTTACAAAAGAACACAGAAAAAAGGACTTACGTGCAAAAGTTCCTAATCTGCATTTGACAGTTTTTAAAGGAAAACAGTAATGATTAGTAACAATGCTTCCAAAGACTCAACAAACCCATCTTAAAAAAATAAATGAGACTGTCATTTTTATTTCCCTACATTTATCTTTATTTCAACTGCATTGCAGTTTAGGGAATAGAATTAGAGAGAGAAGCTCAGCTAAAAATGAGTAACAGTATCTTCATGAAGAATGTCTGCCAGTTTAAAACTAGGAGCAAGAACAATGCAGTTCAGCATACAACAAAACCACATTTTTAAAAAATTTAAAATTAATCTATAGTAGGACAGAAAGAAAATGCAGAATTTCTCTTAAAGCCATCCTAACAGTCTTATGCTGTGTGTGAGTTTTAGATGGTTAAACTTCAACTGTGTGTAGCTTTAAAAAAATCTGCAGCTTTTACCTACTTCCATAATAATGGCCATGGTTATATTGAAAATAAGGTAATCTTTAAGAATTCTGCATTTGAGAACTTTTTTACCTAAAATGTATCCACTGCTAATGGGCACATGATATGTAGTAATTGTAGTGTATTTTCAGAACCAATATTAGAACATGTGGTTTGGTGGAGGGTTTTTACCCTTCCTGTGCACAAAAGAAAATCTCAGAAACATTTGTAAAATAAAACAGCATAACTTCGGAGGCATTTTGGTGGTTTGGGAGGACAATAGGGTAGAATATTTGAAATTAGAACTGAAATAGAAAATCTGAAATGCAGGGCCTTGGTAACTATTTTCCATACTTATCCAACTGAGAAAGCACAGTGAAACCTCATAAAATCAGACTCCAATGACTCAGAATTTGGAATAATTAAAGGCAGAAGCTGAGACAAAGTCTAATTCAGCCTGAAGAATGCTTAAATATTTATGAGGGGAAAAACCTGTTTTCATCTCTCAGGTACCAGAAACGGTTGATATGATCATTTTAACTAACTCTTTTCACCAAAGTCTATTTCCTCAGTGTGTTCATTCTCTTGAGTTTTAGCTATTGTATTTTCCTAAATGCATTTTGGAGAAGGTTCTATAATACAGATGCATTTTACCATATCAAGCTGGTACCTTCCCTCTGGTCATTTTAATTTATGAGGCTTTCCTGCATATTTACAATATTCACTTGACAACTGAGTATTTCCCTTCTTTTAGATAAACCCCAAGGGCAACTGATCCAAAATAGGAACAAAAAGTGATCAATACTTACGAACACAACTTGAAAAGGTAGGGTCTGGCCCATATCCCATTTTGCAGGTACATCGGTAGCTGCCCATGGTATTCAAACACTCACCATTAGGGCATACACCTTGTAGCTGGCATTCATTAATATCTGCAGGAAAACAAAAGTCATTTAGATGAAGCCATGAGAGCCCTGTTGAGCAGATTCTAGCTATAAATTGCATTCACTTTCTTTTTCACTATAATCTCTTACTTAAAGTAAGAAAAGGATGGGGGCGGTGTTTAGCAGATGCTAATGACCTAAAATCAAGTTACTGAAGAATTATTTAATTTACATAACAAATATTTCTTACATACTTACCATACCCCAGGTTCTGTTTTAGGTGCTAAGAATTTGCTAGTGAACAAAACTGCACAACAACAACAACGACAAAAAAAAAAAAAAAAAAAATTCTAGGCTTTGCAGAATTTACATGTTGGTTTTAGTGTATGTCAGGTATTTAAGAGCATACAGGTAAGGCAGAGATTTTTATCCTGGAGGTACTGACAGTCTAACTATGCATACAAATATATGAAACACTAAAAAAGTAAAAAGTTATTATAAGGACAGTCATAACTTGAAGACATTCAATTATGAAATTGTCTATATAGAGTCACTAAAGGAAGAGTTACTAAAGGAAGTTGGAGGTGGAGGAAGAAGTGAGACTTCACCAGGGTATGAAAGTCTTGCGGGAGGGGGCAGGTTGGAGAGAAAGGGAAGGAATAGTGGTGTGGGTGGACACTTGAAGCATAAGCAGAGACTGGCCAGGGGAAGGGGCTCAGGAAATGGTGACTCAAACCTTTGGCTGGAAAAGAAATTTCAGGAAGGTAAATAGTTAGAGACCGAGCTGGTAAAAGCCAGACTAAGTTTGGATTCAATTTTATTGAGAACAAGGAGCTAAACTAAAGGATTCTGAGCAGAAGGATGTAATCAAGAGCAGACTCTAGGAAAAAAAATCACCTGGCCAGCATATGGCTTGGTGAAAAGAGATTGCAAGTCTGATCACTAGAAGAATAAGGCAGGTAGGAGGCTGGTGACAAGCCAGGTTGGTGACAATGAAAGTAATCAGGGAGATAAGGAGTGACTAATTTGTTCTTTTTTCTTTTGAATTAAGAACTGACAATGTGTGGTGCTTGACTGGGCATCACAACACTGGAAAGCAGGAGAAAGGAGTCAGAGACATCTTATCTGAGAAAAGAGCAGGGAAACACTGTTGGTGAGGTGGAAGGAGTTCTGAGACACAAAGAATGCCAGAAGATGAAGAATTCGGTTTTAGAGTTGAGGTCACATTGGGATACCCAAATAAAAATATTCAGCAGCAATGGTGGAAGATTCTGGAAAAAAAATAAAAGAGGAAAACATGGACTTGAGATCATCAGCACATTTCAATCCAGAAAAAAATCAAAATGATGTGAGAAAAAAGACAAAAATTGATGATTTTCAAAAGATTTTTTTAAGTCACTTGCAAAGGTAATTAATTAAAAATCAAAAAGGAATGTGATAAATTTTAAAAGAAAAATTGGTTGCTATTTATATTCTATCCAATGTGACCCTTGAGGCTTAATAGACTTTGGCTGTTGGCTTCTCCATTTCAGATAATATTTATGTTCTCCCATCATTGACTCTTCTACGAACATTTATTAAGCATATTAATTTGCTAAATTAAAATTGGACACATCAATAGCAAAATAAAACTAGCAGAATCATCACATAAAATGCAAACACAGTCCTCTGTAAATAAGGCACTAGGGAAGAATAGTGTTACCTTAGATTAGGTAGAGGTAAGTGATAGGAGGGGAGGAGAGGGGATGTGGGCATAGGAAAGACAGTAGAATTAAAGGACGTTATTATTGTATGTATATATGTGACTACATGACCAATATGATTCTGCAACCTGTACACTCAGAAAAATGAGAAATTATGTCCCATCTATGTATGATATATCAAAGTTCATAAAAGCAGTCTACTGTCATGTACGTTAAAACAAATTTTTAAAAAATTTTAAATCATTATTCAAGCAATTTAAGCATACTTCACATTCTAAGAAGTCATAGCTAGCTATCAATATGCATAGTTTTTATCGAAACCAGGCAGTTTTTAAGTTAATTTCAGTGATAAATATAACATCTGTCATGATAGTCAAACAATTAGTTAATGCATATTTGTTGCTCCAACTTGAACGCAGCTGGAAATGGGGACAGCTAGATCACACCTGGCCCAGCACCTGATCGTGTTCTTTATCAGGCTGCATGTTGTGCTGGAAAGCACATTTACACGCAACATGTAATTGAAAACATTCCCCCATAACTCATTCTTCTTAGGAAAACCACCATGAAGGAGCAGGAAGAGTGCCAAGTCCAGCTGGAGCTTACGAGGTCCAAGTGAAGCCCCTATCATATGTCCCAAGCAAAACCTCAAGCTCGGGTAACCAGCCAGTTGTGGTCAAAAAGACTGGACCAAATTTCTCCTCTCCTACTTCCCCTCAAGTTCCCACTAGGGTATAATTATCAGCTTTCTTCTCCTAAATGGCCTGTACCCCTCATTCACTGGTTGTGCCACTGCACATTCCATGATCACATTCTTGGGACGCAGAATTTTTTGTTGTTAGGAGGTTCCTTTTCTTCCTGCTTGCTTATTGCTTCCCCCCCACCACCACCACCACCCCCGGATCGAACCCAGGACCTTGTGAATACTAGGGCACTCTACCACTGAGCTAAGTACCCACCTCCCCCACCCTTTTGTTGTTGTTGTTGTTGTTGTTGTTTTATTTCATTTTATTTTGGGTCTCGATAAGTGGCTGAGGCTGGCCTCGATTCAGCAACCCTGGGTAGCAGGGTGCACTACTACACTCAGCATAGGAACTTTGTGTGGCAGCAGCATCCCAGTCCCACTGCTGTCTGCCTGTTAAGGTGAAGGGTGTCGCCCGTTCAAAAATGCCCAATTCATAACCACTGCTTTGTGCCCTCTTCCAATTCCTCTCCTCGGAGTCCTCTCAACATTGCTCACAGTCCTAACCATGATGCCCCGGGAAAGGGAAGCAAGAATTAAGACAAAAAAGAAAAAGAGAAAGAAAAACAGTAAGGACTATGCAAGCCTGTGGGTCTGAACAGGAAGAAATCAAAAAGTTCACCAGGAAGGAGAATCATGTAAGATTCCTCTATTCACACTCTGATCAGAGTGAGACTTGTGCAAAGTACCTCTAGCACTGCCACCACCCCTGATTGGTCCTAGAAACCTAGGAGGATGGATTTTCCTACTCAATACAGGTTCACAATTTCTAGAAAGAGCTGTTTCCTTCAGTTGCCTGATTTTTTTAAATCATATTTTCTGAAATGCCATAAGTAAGAGATTCATTAAATCAGAAAAATGAGAAATTATTCCCCATTTGATTCAAATGTATGAATTGTCAAGATCATTGTACTGTCATGTGTAGCTAATAAAAAAAATTCCAAGCATCCTCTATTTGTTTTGTATACATCAATGTGTGTTAATCTTAAGTATACAGCCAGATAACTTTTTACATATACATATTCAAGTGTGCATATATGTGCACATACTGTCTGATCACCAAGATCATGATGTATAATTTCTTCAAGCCCCTTCCTAGTCAACATACCTGTGCCCGCAGCTAACTATAATCCTGGCTTCTATCATTTATTAGTCTTGCCTGTCCTTGAACTTCACATAAAGGAAATTGTATATATTCTTTTATCTGACTTCTTTTGCTCACTATTATGGTTAAAAAAATTCATCAATGTTGTTGCATGAAGTTAATTCATATTATATTTCATTGTATAAAGATCCCAAAATTAACTTATCCATTCTATTGATGGATATTTGAGTTATTTCCCATTAGAGGCTATTATTAATAATGATCTGTGGGCATTCTTACATGTATGTATTTGAAAGGTCTTGTTATATGTGTGTGTGTATATATACACACACACACATACATATATATACACACACACATATATTTGGTATATACTAGAGTAGAATTTCCAGATCACTAGAGAAGGTCTTTATTTACTTTAATAAATTACCAAATAGTTGTCCACAGCAGTTATGCCAATTTCCATTCCCAGTAGCAGTTGTTAACACATCTTTATTAACCTAGTACTAGTCTTTTTACCAAATTTAGTCATTCTGGCAGAGGGTGATATTATCTCATTGTATTTTTAATCTGCACTTCTCTGATGAGTCATGACAATGAACATTTTTCGTATACTTATTAACTATTTCAATAGAAAAACTTCCTAAAATTTAACTTCCTAAATAGAAAAACTTCCTAAAATTTAAACATATATAGGAATGTTATAGGTTAATAAGATTGTTTTCTTCTCAGCACTCAGGGAGAACTCATTGGTGATTTTTCTTTTTTTTTAACCTTTGTAAGGTATTTTTATTTTTATTTTTTAATTTTTTTTTATTATTAGTTGTTCAAAACATTACAAAGCTCTTGTGATTTTCTAAGTGAGTAAAATATTCTTACTTAGGGGACCTCTGGGGCTACCATTAGGTACTAGGAAACACACTGAATGAACACTAGGGATATTAAAAATTCTGAAGGTGAGATAAATGATTTAAATTTTTTTTTTCCTAGAGCTTGCTCTTGATTACATCCTTCTGCTCAGAATTCTGAAAGCACACTTGACAAGGAATTTCCTACCCAAAATGTCAGTAAAGTCCTCCTTGAAAAACACACAGATGTGATGAGGAGGAGAAAAAATAAATGAATTTCTAAAAGCAAAAGAGACCATTTTGAAATGAGATTGTCTGAGGAACAAGGCAGGACAGAGGTGGGAGCTAGCTACATAAAGAATTGAAGGGTCTGGTTCAGTTGACTTTGCTGTATCTTCTACTTTTGGACACTTCCCTGCTGTTCTGAGACTGTGTCTTGGCCTCAAGATAAATGGGTGGCTCACCTAGAAGCAAAACAGAACCCAGGCCCACCAAGTTGCTGGCTTCAGAGCTTGGTGGTTTGTGACCAGAGAGACAGTTTTAGTGCTACCCTGTCAGACCAGGACACCAACAGGGTTCATGAGACCTAAGACGGCCCTGAAGACCTGTCCCTGGATCCTGAACACCCAGCATAGCTGCTTTAAGTAAAG